CATATTTTAGAAAGCTATTCTTTGGTTTGATGTATAGAAATTTGATTTAGAAATGTATTAGTATTAAAGCATCTTTCTATATTATTGCTGCTAACTTGTAATATAAATTTATTGAGTGTTGAAATATTAAGTAATTGTGGATTAGTAAAAATATCATTGTTTGTGTTTGTAGATAGGTGAAGCATATGTTTAGTGCATTTTATTAACATGCTTAATAGTTGTTGAATTTTATTATAGTTTAAAAATTTTATTACTAAAAAACATAGCTTTTTTTTTAAATACATATTATATTTAACTTTTTTTTTATATAACTTTTTTTAAAAAAAGTATTACCAGATTATTATTTTTTTTTTTGCTTTTGCTAAAATCATTAATTATTGATAATTACTGCCTTTATTGTAATTTTAATTATAGTTATATAACTTGTACAAGATGAGTGTTTAACTAGTTATATATACAGCTTTTGGTTATCTATTTAAGTAGTTTATCTACAGGTTTTATACTAACTATTATATCTAATTAAATATTTTGATTTTTATACTATACTTAACAGATAAATTAAACAAGTTCTTGTATACTTAAGTGTCATTTAATCTAACTTTTACCTTCAGTCTATAAGTTTGTTATATTATTAAATATTTTAAAATATCTTACTTAACTGTAAAGCTTCTAAAGATTCTTTTATTAACTAATTACTCATATTTAGTTTTTATTATTCTTGTAAAGTTTATTTAAATTTTAATATTATTTCATAATATCTCTAATATTTATAATATATTTTTGCTTTTGGCATCAGATTTTAATTCAAATAGTCTGAAAAGATTATAACATATTTTTGATATATTGAAGTTATATTTTTTAATATATTTTTTTTCTAGTTCAAGACTTCTGTTAGCTTGGTTTGTAGTACTTCTTATCTAAGATTCTTGTTTATCTAATTTTTTCATATTAATATCTATTTTTTAGGTCTAGTTATTACAATAATATTATTAAAGATCTGTTCTATTTTTCTATTTAGATTTTTTCTAAATAGATTTTTTTGTTTTTTTTTTTTTTTTCTGTTATCTTGAAGGTCTTTAGACACCTTTAGGTTCTGTTATATCTCTTTAAAGGCCAGAGTTATTATTTAGCAGAGATCATTGGACAGCATGTAGCTCCTATATTCATCACCATACTTATGAAGATAGCTCATGTTTTTTTAAGTCCATCATATGATGTTCTAGGTTCTTGGCTCTGCAGTATAGGACCTACTATCTTTTTATTCAGTCTGCAGTTCTCTAACTTCACATGACTCACCAGTCAGATCATTCTTTTATATCTAATGTTCTTTAACTTGGTTTTCTTAATATTAATATCATTTATTAACAGATTTGCCTTTTTTGGTTGTTCCCAACTCTGTGGCTATGCTGGCAGACTGCATTCTTATATATAAATTTTGTTCTTTTCTCTAATAGAAAATCTTCTGAAGATTTTCCAAGTATGGTCCTGGTGAAGTTGTTATCACTTAGTAGAATTTGAACTTGCAACCTTACGATTGTAACCTAGGAGCACTAACTACTATACTATCGACCCACAGGTCTAATTTTTTGTTTTTCAATTTTAATAAATTTATATAGTTATAAGAACTTATTTAGTATTTGTACTGCCTAATGCTAATTTATATTTTTCTATATAATTTATTATACAGATGTTTTATAACTTGTCAGTTATGCTAATACAACTGTTATTATAAATATCTTAATTTAATTATTAGAAACAGTTATTATAATACAAATATTTCATAAATGATTATCTAAATTTTTATCATTAATAATATTTAAACATCCAACCTATCATTTGAAAGATTAACAAATTATTTATTTCACTAAATTGTTATATTCTTGATATTACTAGACTATTAAAATTATTTATAAAAATATTATTATCTATTTTTTGCTTGTATATAATTAATATAATTTTGAATTTTTTTTGATATTAAACAAATATTTTTTTAAAAATGACTTCTTTAGTCTTTTGATTTTTATTAATAATTTTTTTAATAATATAATTTTATAAACTATTACAAAAGAAGTATGCAATTGGTTATATATATAACTTTTTATATTATTTATTTAAGAAGTTTGTCTGAAAGTTCCTTACCAATTGTTATATTTAATATTTCTACTTAAGTGTTTCATTTTAAACCCTTTGAACCTGTATTTGTATTAATATTACTGAGTTATGTTCAGATCATTGTCTTAATCTTAAAACTATTTTATCTTTATAATAAATCTTTTAAAGTCTTCTATACTTATTTTTATAGTTAATCTAGTATTACTATAACAGAATTAATATTTGTAATTAAGGTTATTTATTAAACTGTTGTGTTTTTGTAAAGTTTATTTAATTCTTAGTATTTACTTTATAATATATTTAAATTATTTTAGTATATTTTTGTTTATTTTTTAAATTTTTAATCCAAATAACTTAGTAAAATTACAACTAATCCAATAGTATATTAGGTTGGCTTAATATTCTTTTTTTTGATTTATTCTAGTAATCTGATCGATAGTATCTCTTTATATAAATGTTCTTAACTGTCTAGATATTTTAATATTAGTATTTGTTTTCTAAAACTAACCTTTATAATAGTGTTATTAAAGATTTATATTATCTTTCTACTTGAATTTTTTCAAATAAACTTCTTGTTTTCTAATTTCAACAGAATTATATAATTACAAAAACTTATTTAGAGTTTATACTACCTGATATCAGTTTGTATTTTTTTTTATAACATCATATTTATACAGATACTCTATAATTTGCTAGTTATGCTGATGTAATCATTATTACAAGTATTTTAATCCAATTATTAAAAACAATTACTATAATATGAATATTATATAGATTATTATTTAAATTTTTGATATCAATAAGATTTGAACATCTAACCTATCACTTAAAAGGTTGATAACTTATATATTAAGCAAGTATTTTTTGTTTTTTATTTAATATATTAAATATATTGTGATTTGTTATTATTAATATATTTTGTAAGTTGTTAATTGAAACTATTTTTATTAATATTATTATTATTAGTTATTGAAATTTTAAGTTTAGTTTCAGAATTATTTATTAGATTAATTGTTGAAGTCTTGTTATTATTAAAAACAAATAAGAAATAATCATAATATTATTGTGTTTTTAAAAATAAAAAAAATTATTTACTATTTATTTTATTTTTTTTTATAAATAAAAGCTTATATATAAAGTAACAGTTATATAAATTTGCAAAACAAGAACATATCTAGTAATTCATATCAATATGATATCTTTTATCTATATTATCTTGAATATCTATTCTTGCAGTTTTGTTTTATTTATTTTTAAACTTATACTACTATATTGAAAAGGCTTTATTTCTGTTATACTAGATTAGCTTTATTTTACAATTAGTAACAAACTGTTCTACTATAATTTGAATAAGTTAATTTATGCAAAGATGATTATAATTGTATTTATAGTTATATTTAAGAACTTATTAATAGTTTTTAGTAATTATTATAATATATATAAAAGGAATAACAAATAAATATGAGGATTATGCAAATAGTTTTAGTTTTTTGTATTATATTAATTTATCTAAAGGTAATACTACAATTTAGTGAATTTATATAAATAGCAAAACTAATATATTTTATGAATACAAAAATTATATACTACTTTTGTATTTATAAATAAGTTTTTAATAACTAAAATAAGTAAATACATAATAGCATGTTTTTTTATTATTTTTAATAATTCTTTAATTAGGTTATTTGAATAAAAAAATTTTATATTATTTTGAATTTATAATAGATCTATAAATTTAATATATTATAGATCTTTAATACTTTTTTTACTAAGTATATATATGATTTAGTTTTTTTATTTTTTATTTTTTTGGCAATAGTATTTTCAAAATGCTAGTAACAAAATTAATATTAGTCATCTATGACCAAACTTTACTAATTGCTAAAATTTGTTTTATATTTTTGTTTGTTAAAACAAATATTAGTTAAAGTTCTTTATGATAAAAGCTATTAAAAAATAATTGTAATATTTTAACTTATATTTTTACAATATTAGTTAGATTATATTTAGCTTCTTTAGTAGAATCAGATATATAAAAATACAAGTATATTATTGATGTACTATATTTTCTACAATTTATATTAATTATAAAAAGTTTAAATAACTTTTAATTTGTTTTAAATATAAATTAATTATTAACAATTTAGTTTACAACTCTCTTCTGTAGATCACTTGACCAAATTTCACAGAAAGCAAAAACACAAAATAATACCAAAAAGCATAAGTAAACAGCATTTAGAACACTAAGAAAAAAGATAGAAACTTATAAAATATAATTAACAAATTAGAAAAACAAGAAATAAACCAAGACAGCAGAAGGCAATAGCAAGAAAACAAAAATGAACTTCAGTCAGTAAATAAATCGCAGATCATGTGACTTTGGCCTAAATTTTATTGGTTGCAGTCTGAATCATGTGGAACACTATACAATCATTATACTAAAATTATATGTCTAACTATAAATATCTTTTCCCTCTTTCTAGTTACATTAGGCTGTTTTTCTTTAGATTGCAGTCTGCAACTTAGAAGTGTCCTACTAAGTTTTTATAAATAACCTAGAAGCAGACAACCAGGATGAAGTCTCAGCATATAATAATAATAGTAACATTAACAATAATGCTATTAATACTATTAATAATGAGAACAATGCTAATGAACACAATAAGAATATTGCTAATGAACAGAATAATGTTCAGTTATCAGACAATGAACCCTACCTTATAGACAAATAAGGCATTGCAATGTTCATACTCACATTTGAAATGCAGACACTACTTACAAAAATCTATAAAAATAATATATTACAAACAGAAGAAAGACAAAAGCTTATATAAGCATTTCTTCATAACAAGCTTATTAAGTTTGTACTACCACCTATGAACAAAGAAATGTCTAAACATATGCAAAAGGACTATAAGAACTTTGACAAAATACTTTATAAAATTTTATATCAAACATTAGCTGTACTTAGATCACTTAATAATGCAATTAAAATGGCTTATGAAACAAGGCTAACATTAGACAAAAAAGAGGCTAGTAAAATATGAAGCCTTATAAAAAAGGCATTATTATCTACAAGAACATTGTTATTAGATGCATTATCTTATACAGGTAAACACAGACAAGATATTGCTATCAAAGCAATTTATCCAAATTACCAACTAAGATCAGAAGTAGAACTCTTGTTTGGAAAAAAGTTGGAAACAATCATTACTAAGGAGAATGAAAAGAACAAATTTTCCAATGATGCCATATGGCAAAAACAACATTCTCAAAAACTTAGCAATAGTAAAGAATACAAGAATAATATATACTATTGAACATACAGAGTAGAAGAAACACATATTGACATTTCTCTTTAAGCATATGGTCCTGCAATCAAAATTTTCATTAGAGCGATTTATAGCAACAATTTTGCCTAACTAATCAGTAATGGTAATAGGTGCAAGATTAAGATCCTTCCAAACAAAATGGTTAGAAATAGCTAGAGAATCATAAGTTACACAAGTTATAAAAGAAGGATATTACCTTATATTTATAAAGACACCATTACTAAAAATTTAACTAGTATTATTAAATAAATATGCAACTTCTATAAAGAAGACATTAATAAAAGATCTCCTGCAAACGAAGCTACAACCACCAGTATTCACCCCATAGTACCCTACTACACCTTTCTCTTAAAAAACTTGGACATATTATCAAACTTGTTAAAAAACTAACCCAAACTTCTAATATCTCAAATATTAACTAAAACATCTCCCAAATTAATAAACAGTCACAATGTGACCTTCAATTACTTAACTCCGTCCACCCCTCCTGCATTCAACTATGGCTTCAACATGCCCACTCCATTTGGAAACAACTTTATCATGCTCGTTACCTTGAAAACTCTCTTCTACTCTGACAACAAATCAATAAAGCTACTAACAAAAGATGTGTTACTCTAACTACATCCTACTCAGGCTATTAACAGCATTCTTAATCACTACCATCAACCTGTTCATCTCTCAAACATAAAATTACCAAACCAACTTATTAGTGACCTATTATTCATTAAACAACATGTTCAATCTCATTTCTATAATTGGACTGCACCAGACCTATTAATGAAACTCTCTTTAATAACTTCTGGCAACAACAATACCTTCCACTCACCTACATCAATCCAAACTGGTATCATCCTTTTAACTCTCCTATCATCAATGAAGAACTCCTTCAAACCCTCTCACAACTACCTAATAATAAAGCCTGTGGTCCTACTGGCATTAGCTATGAAATGCTTAAACACATTGGTCCCCAATGCATCTTGGCTATTACTGCCCTTTTTAATCGATGCCTTCTTGAAAACAGAATTTCTAAACAATGGAAACATTGTAGAATTTATCCTATTTCCAAACACAATACCTTTGATGGTGACCGTAATCTCACACGGCCTATCAGTCTGATTGAACACATTTGTAAACTTTATACTAAAATCTCACAAACCGACTTAGCTCTGTTTTTTCCTCAAACCCTATTCTTTCACCTTTTAACTATGTTGCACTTCCTAATAATAGTACTTCAATTCCTATCC